GGATGAAGGAGTCTTCCCCTTTGAGGACACAGACATGAATCTTCTTGGGAGAGAAAAGGCTTATCCTGAAGAAAGGAAATCTTTTATATCCTGTAGAAACTGTTTCACTGCATTTAATAGAGCACATTGTTTCAGGAAGCAATAGACCTGTTTTGATATCTCTGCTGTGACGCTGCTGTACATTATACACATTCACAAAAAAGTTACTGTAAACTATACAGAAATGGTCAAGGGAGCAGAGACTGGAACCAAGGACATGTTTCTTCCTTTTCTTTTAGTTCAACAACGCTTGAATTCTTCTCTGCAGCCTGTATCCCCACACCATGGGTAAAACATTAAACACTGCTACTTCCTCTCAACCTTAAAAGAAATCCAGGATCAGCCCTAGCTTTTCTTAAAAAACTGATGTTGTGCCCAAGGTGGCATGTTACAGAGTAACTATCAAATTGTGGTGTGACAATCGTTCTTCCACTGGGAAACCTATGTGCAAATACATTTATGTTCAAGTAAGCACTGAGCTGCTCAGCAGTAATATCAACTGATATGCTTGTGCAGAAGACCAGAAGCAGAACCACTGCAAAGCAGAGAACTTTACAGTAAAACCCCCCCAAACAATAGCATCCTGTGTGTTGATTTCTGGCATCTCCAGAGGTGGAAGGCATCAGTAGAGTAGTTTTAGGATTGCAGTTATGTGTATGACTACCTGACTTTCATCCAGTTTATTTTTTTTTGGATTTGATTCTCAAGTATTGGCTTAATTTTAACTGTGAACTTAAAATTAAAATCATTGAAGTCATATGTCACACTTGAATTCAGCAGATCCTGAACACTTGTAGGATCAGTGAAAATAATTCATCTGAAAATGAACTAGACAAGTATTTAGTAGGACGAAGATAAACAGTGGTCTAGCATATTAATGCAATAATAAAGGGATACAGTTAAGGTTTCTTCCCTTTGAACCCTGTCAGCTGTTAACACGGTATAATTTGTTTAAATTAGATATAAATAGAATCTTTTTATAGGCAATAGATAATGCTGCCCTGCTTCGAATGCAACAGCGTAAGTGAACAGATTTCAAAAACAGATTTATAAAACTGAATATAAATATACTAGCAAAGAAAATAACATACCATACAGGAAAAGAAATGGAACCATGTACAGTGCTGTTTGTGTGACACATTGTGGTAGAAATAAACAAGAATTTATGAACTTTTATACTGTTGATTTGATGGTGGTTTCCAGAATTATGGGTAAAGTTAGTCTAGAGTCTAAAGAAAAACATATTTATGTAATATAATGAGAATTTTTTTTTTCAGTATTCAGAGTCAATCTCTGTAACAAATCATTAAATGTAGGTGATTTACAGCTTTTCCATGAAGTCATAATTCTTCTTTTTTTTTTTTTTTTTTTTTTTTTTTTTTTTTT